CAAAACAGAAAACCCTGGGAAAAGGGAGAATCTTATTTCCAGGGTTATTACAATATTCAAATATCTTGTCTTCAACATTCAAAACAATAACAAAAAATCCTAAGGTATATTTAAAAAATTGAATATATGTCCCATTCAAAGGAAAAAAAATTAATTGACAGAAATATCTCTAAGGAAGCCCAGACTGTGGATTTCCTAGATGAGAACCTTTAAAAAATTGATAAATATGCACAAAGAGGTAAAATAAAATATGGATAAGGAACTAAAGAAAATAAAGAAAATAGATGAATAAAATGAGAATATTAATAAAGAAATATAAATTTTTAGTAGACCATTCCACAAAAATCAGGAAAAAGACAAGGGTGCCTGATTTCACCATGTCTATTCAACATGATGTGGGACATTCTAACCAGAGTAATTAGGCAAGAAAAAGAAATAAAAGATATCCAAATTGGAAAGGAAGAAGGAAAATTATTTGTTTGTAGATGACATGATCTTATATGAAGAAAAATTGTTAGAACAAAAGAATTTAGAAGAGTTGCAAAATATAAAGTCAACACACAAAAATCAGTTGCATTTCTACAAACTAACAATGAACAATTCTAAAATGAAATTAAGAAATTACTTCCATCAAAAAATAAAAAATAAGACACTTCAGAACAAACTTTGCCAAGCAGGCAAAGGACTTGTGCAAAGAAATCATAAAACGTTGCTGGTAGAATTTAAAGAAAACATAAATAAATAGGAAGGCACTCCATGTTCATGGATTAGAAGGCTTAATATTGTAAAGATGTCAAAACTACCCAGAGTGATTTACAGATTTAGAGCAATCCCTGTCAAAATACCAACAACATTTTTGCAGATAAAGAAAAACCCATCCTCAAATTCAAAAGGAATCTCAAGGGACCCTGGATAGCCAAAACAGTTTTGAAACAGAAAACTAAATTTGGAGGATTCAGTTTAATTTTCAAAACTTATTGCAAAGCTTCAGAAATGAAAACACTGTGGTACTGGCATAAAGATATACATATAGACCAATGAAATAGAATGGAGATCCCAGAAATAAATGTTCAAATATATGGTCAAATGATTTTTCACAAGGGTGCCAATTTCACTCAGTGTAGAAAAGACAGTCTTTTCAAATTGTGCAGGGAAAACTGTCTAACCACATGCAAAAGAATGAAGTGGGACCTTTACCTTACAACATATACAAATATTAACTCAAAATGTATCAAAAAAACCTTAAGTGTAAGTGCTAAAACTATAAAACACTTAGACGGAAACATAAGGGATATCTTTATGCCATTGGATTTGACAGTGATTTCTTGGATATGACACCAAAAGCACAGGCAATAAGAAAAAGATATTCGTACAACATGTTCATAGCAGCATTATTTACAATAGTCAAAAGGTAGAACCCCGAGTCTATCAATGGACTGGTATATGCATGCAATGGAATATTATTCAGCCTTAAAAGAAGAAAATTATGCACATGCTACATCCAGATGAGCCTTGAGGACATTATGCTAAGTTAAATAAGCCAGGCGCAAAAAGACACATATTTCATGATTCTACCTATAAAAAGTACCCAGAATAGTCAACTTCTTAGAGACAGAAAGTAAAACAGTAGTTGCCAGGGGTTGAGGGAGGGTGGAATGGGGAGTTTCAGTTTAGAGAGGTAAAAATGTTCTGTAAATGGATGGTGGTGATGATTGAACAACAATGTGAATATACTTAATGCCATGGAACTGTACACTCTGAAATGGTTAAAATGATAAATGTGTTATATTATTTTACTCCAAGAAGAAATGGATCAACAACCTAAATATAATAGCTAACACCATCAAACACATAGAAGAAAAATAAGGTTAAATTTTCATGACTTGGCTTTGGCTATAGATTGTTAGGTATGACACCAAAAACACAAGCAACAAGATTAAAAATAGGTAAATTGGACTTCTTCAAAATAAAACATTTTCATGCATCAAAGGATAGTATAAAACAGAGTGAAAAGACATCCTACAGAATAGGAGAAAATATTTGCAAATCATATATCTGATAAAGGTTCAATATCCAGAAAAAAAAATGTGCATTTAAAATATAAAAATATATACATGTATATATTTTGCTGAGGCAATTGTGTATCTATGAGCCAAAAAAAGAAATCAACCAAACCTCACACCTTATTAAAAAAGTAACTCATTATAAATGATATGTTTAAATGTAAAATATAAAATTAAAACTTTTAGTAAAAAAAGAAGAAAATCCTTAGGACCTAAGACTTAGTGAAGAGTGTTTAGACTGGACACCACACCAAAATTTGATTCAAAAAAGGAAATTTTGATAAATTGAACTTGATCAAAATTTAAAACTTTTGCTCTGAGATAAAACTCTGTTAAGAGAATGAAAAGAAAGTATAGACTGGGTAAAAAATAAAAAAGTAAATCACATATCTGACAATGAGCTGTATTTAGAATATGTAAAGAACCCTAAAAACTCAGCAGTTAAGAAAACCCAAGCAATACAATTAGAAAATGAGCAAAGTACATGAAGAGCTATTTCACCGAAGGGGATATGTATATAGCAAATAAACACTTGAAAAATATGTTCAACATCTCTAAACCATTGAGGAATTGTGAATCACAACTATAATGAGATATTAATACACACCTATTAGAACAGCCAAAATATTAAAATCAATAATACCAAGTACTGGTGAAGTAGTGGAGAAACTGAATTTCTCATACATTGCTGATGATAATGTAAGATGGTGTGGCCACCAAGAAAATAGTTTGGCAGATTCCTGGCAGTACTTAACATATGACCTAACAATTGTTCCCCTGGACATTTAACCCAGAGAAATGAAAATTTATGTTCCCACAAAACCTGCATATGAAAGTTCATAGCAGTTTTATTTGTAATATTCTTAAATTTAAACAACCAATATTTCTCAGTAGGTGAATGGTTTAAACAAATTGGTATATCTAAACATTGAAATACTACTCAGCAATAAAAAAGAAAGAACTTTTCCTACATAACAACTTGGATGGTTATCAACAGTATCTTGAAGTAAAGCAATCTCAAAAGGTCACACAATATATGATTCCATTTATATAACATTCTTGAAATGACTAAGTTAAAGAGATAGAAAACAGATTAGTAGTTGCCAGTGGTTAGGGATGATAGGGTAGGGGAAGGAGAGGGTGTACTTATAAAAGTGTAGTCCAGAGCATTCTCTGTGGTGATGGAATAATTCTGTATCTTTATTACAGCTGTGGTTATACAAATGTACAAATGTGATAAAACACAGAATTATATACACATGTTATTCTAATGTCAATTTCCTGGTGTTTACATGTACTATGTTTATGTTAAATGTAATTAAATGGGGAATCTAGGGGAAGAGGATATGAGACCTCTCTATACTACTTTTGAAACTTCAAATAAATTATTTCAAACTAAGATTTTTTTTAAAAGTTCACAACATAACAATAAAAGTTTAATTCTATTTTAAATTTATATAAACCAATAACTTAGCCTCTAAAGCAATAATACATTAAAAAAACAACCTCAAGCCCAGAGGGCTTCTCTAGTGAATTCTAGCAAAAATCCAAGGAACAAATAATATCAATTTCACTCAAACTTTTACAGAGAATATTAAAAGAAGAAACATTGTCTGTCTCATGTTATGAGATGAGCAAAACGTTAATAACAAATCCCACAAAGATATTAGTGGAAATTAAGTTTGGGGACAATGTATTAATAAACATGAATGGAGAAATCCTAAATAATGTATTAGCAAACTAAACCAGCAATATGTAAGTCAGGTAATACATTGTGACTAAAATCCAAGCATTACAAATTGATAGCTGGTCCTCTTCATTTCTGCTCTTCCTTCTTTTTTCCCTCTAAGGCTTAGAGCATGTGCTATCTTCTACACCACCACCAGGGTACTTTCTAGATTTCTATTCAGTTTGTTAGTATGTATTTTCTTTTGTGTGTTCAGCATAGAAATTAGGAAAGCTTTCACAGAAAATTGGATAAAACCTATGATGTGAACAAAACAGAAATAGGGCTAATGATGGATCATAGTGAAGATAGATGTGTGAATTTAATGGATGCACAAACTGGATCAGAGTGATGGGCTTTCTTTTTTTTTATCTTGGTAACCCTCACACTTGCCACTGGCAATGCCTGACTCAAGGCAGGTAGGTACTCAACAAAACTGCAGCCTGAACTGCCTAAGGCAGGACTGGATAAATGATCATGCATTCCATCAGAATCATATGGGAGATGTGTTAATCAATTCTTATAATTAGTTGGAAAGAGATTAAGATAGCAGAATAAAGAAAGCAAATGAATATGAGAGGGATGATTTTCAAACTGACCTATAAGGTAATGTTTGCATTTATAATTTGCATTTAAAATCTATTTCTCGTTAGAGTTTTAGATTTTATACAACCGATGGTTCAGACATTTGCATATTTTAACTTAAATTTATATCTACTATATCTCTTTTCAAAAACAGCCTTAAGCAATTTACAACTCAAGAAATGAGTAATAAAAGTAATAAAATGGAGGTTACAAAATTAGAACTGAGATGAAAATGGAGATAAACAATCTTTAAAGATGATCATGATTGACTAGTAAGAGATTAAAAACAGCAGCATGAGAGGTGAGAGTACCTCCTCCTAAAACCATATGTAATATGAAAATATAATTAATAAACTAATCCTGAAAGAGCAATAGGAAAGAAGGCTGCACCAGACTGCAGACACCTGGAGAAAAAAACAGACCTCACAGAACAGGGTAAAGTACCAAAGCTGTGACCCAGCAGGACCCAAGCCCTTCCCCACCCCAGCTCACTGGTGGGAGGAAGAGGAACAGAGTGGGGAGGGAGTGGAAGCCTGGGACTGCTCAACACCTAGCCCTGGAGTTCTGCTCTGGGAGCATGAAACTACATTGCATGGTGCTCTGGAAAGCAAAGACAGGCAGAATACCTGGAGAGACTGAGAGTCCAGCTGCTTATGAAAAACAGGGATCCATATCCAGCTTCTCTTGGTGGATAGGCTGGGAGACTTCCTTCCAGTGAGAAGGCTGCAAAAGGAGCAAGGATTGAACATAGCTTAATGCTCAGGAGAAAGGACAGGTAGACAAAATTGTCTAGGTGCACTCTGCCCAGCAGGTTGGGAACTTTCAGGATCTTCAAGCGCTCCATCCTCCTGGCTGGCCATGAAGCTCCAAGGTCCCCCACTGCGATACACAGCCTGCTGTGCCTTCTTCCCTGCAAGTCCCCACCTGGCCCACAAACCAGCAACTGCAGCCCTGGCATCAGGCCAGCCAGAGGGAAGCCCTTCCTACAGCAGCTAGAAATGCAAAGCATGGAGGCTTTTACACCTGTGTGTTCAGCTCACTGGTTCTGGCAATGGAGACAGACATAGCAGCTGGGAAGCAGGAAACAGCTCTTTCTTCCCACCAGGCACCAACACCAATCCCCTGCAACCTCTGACATCACTCTAGGGGCTGAGCAGCTCCAGAGAGTGGAGCTTCTGGGCACTAAAAGATGCCACATACAAATATAAAACATCAAAGGAATGTGATTCAAACAAAAATCCCAAACACCAGAAAAAGGGCAGGTGAGGCTGAACTCAATCTTCCTGTAAGAGATTTCAAAATAAAAATCATAAACATGCCCCTGGAGGTACAGATAAATATTCAAGAACTCACAAACGAACTTTGGACAGAGATCCAATCTTTAAGGAACACAATGGAGGGTTTTAAAAGCAGGTTGGATATGGTGGAGGACACAATAAATGAAATAGAAATTAGAGAAGAGGAATACAAAGAAGGTGAGGCACAGAAAGAAAAAAAGATCTCTAAGAATGAAAAAATATTGAGAAAACTGTGTGACCAATCCAAATGGAACAATATTTGTATTATAGGGGTACCAGAAAAATAAGAGAGAGAAAAAGGGATAGAAAGTGTCTTGGAGGAGGTAATTGCTGAAAACTTCCCAAATCTGGGGAAGGAGACAGTCTTTCAGGTCTTGGAGGTGCATAGATTTCCCCACACAAGGGACCCAAGGAAGACAACAGCAAGACATACAATAATTAAAATGGTAAAGATCAAAGATAAGGACAGACCATTAAAAGCAGCCAGAGAGAGAAAAAAGATCACATTCAAAGGAAAACCCATCAGGATATCATCAGACTTCTCAGCGGGAACCTTACAGGCCAGAAGGGAGTGGCATGATATACTTAATGCAATGATGTAAAAGGGCCATGAATCAAGAATACTCTATCCAGCAAGATTATCATTTAAATTTGAAGGAGGGATTAAACAATTTCCAGATAATCAAAAGCTGAGAGAATTTATCTCCCACAAACCATCTCTACAGTGTATTTAGGAGGGACTGCCATAGATGGAAGTGTTCCTAAGGCTAAATAGCTGTTTTATTTACTAGAGGTAATAAAACCACAGTAAAGAAAGTAGAACATAATGATAGCAAAAACAAACAAACAAATAAATAAATGAAACAGCTAGAAAAAAGAAAAGAAAGTAGAACAGATAATTATTAAGCAAATCCAAAATTAAATAAAATGCACCCAAAGTCAGTCAAGGAGTAGACAAGGAGTACAGAATATGATACCTAATATATAAAGAATGGAGGAGGAAGAAAAAGGAGAAAAAGAAAAGAACCTTTAGATTATGTTTGTAATAGCATGTTAAGTGAGTTAAGTTAGACTCTAAGATAGTAAGGAAGTTACCCTTGAACCTTTGCTAACCATGAATCTAAAGCCTGCAATAGCAATACATACATACATATCTATAATCACCCTAAATGGAAATGTGTAGAATGCACCAATCAAAAGACATAGAGTCACTGAATGGATAAAAAAAAAACAAGATCTATCTATATGCTGCCTATAAGAGACTCACTTCAAACCCAAAGACATACACAGACTAAAAGTGAAGGGATGGAAAAAGATATTTCATGCAACTAATAGGGAGAAAAAAGCAGGAATTGCAGTACTTGTATCAGACAAAATAGACTTCAAAACAAAGAAAGTCAAGAGACAAAGAAGGGCATTACATAATGATAAAGGGTTCAATCCAATAAGAGGATTTAACCAATATAAATATCTATGCACCCAACACAGGAGCACCTACATATGTGAAACAAATACTAACAGAATTAAAGGGGGAAATAAAATGAAAAACATTCATTTTAGAGACTTCAACACACCACTCACTCCAAAGGATGGATCAACCAGACAGAAAATAAGTAAGAACACAAAGGTGCTGAACCACACACTAGAACAGATGAACCTAACAGATATCTAAGGAGCACCCCATCCAAAATCAACAGGATACATATTCTTCCCAAGCGTACATGGAACATTTTCAAGAATAGATCATATACTAGTCCACCAAAAGAGCTTCAGTAAATTAAAAAAGATTGAAATTGTACCAACCAGCTTCTCAGACCACAAAGGTATAAAACTAGAAATAAAGTATGTAAAGAAAACAAAAAAGCCCACAAACACATGGAGGCTTAACAACATGCTTCTAAATATCCAATGGATCAATGACCAAATAAAACACAGATCAAGCAATATATGGAGACAAATGACAACAATAATTCAATACTGCAAAATCTGTGGAATATATTGAAGGCCATGCAGAGATGGAAGTATATTGCAATACAGGGCTACCTCAGGAAAGAACAACAATCCCATATGAACAGTTGAAACTCACAATTAATGAAACTAGAAAAGGAAGAACAAACGAGGCCCAAAGTCAGTAGAAGGAGGGAAATAATAAAGATTAGAGCATAAATTAATAAAATTGAGAATGAAACAATAGAAAGAATCAATGAAAGCAGGAGCTGATTCTTCAAGAAAATAAACAAAATAAATAAACCCTAGCCAGACTTGTCAAGAAAAAAAGACAATATACATATATAAACAGAATAAAAAATGAGAAAGGAAAAACCACTATGGACACCACAGAAATACAAAAATTATTAGAGAATACTATGAAAAATTATATGCCAACAAACTGGATAACCTAGAAGAAATGGACAAGTTTCTAGAAAAATAAAACCTTCCAAGGCTGACCCAGAAATAAATGGAAAATCTGAACAGATCAATTACTAGCAATGAAATTTCTTCTTAAAGTTTTCCAAGCAGTAGAAGAGGAGGGAATACTTCCATACTCATTCCATTAGGCCAGCTTCACTCTAATACCAAAACCAGACAAAGACAACACAAAAAAAGAAAATTACAGACCAATATCCCTGATGAACATAGATGCAAAAATACTCAACAAAATATTAGCAAACTGAATTCAAAAATACATCAAAAAGATCATCCATCATGATCAAGTATAATTTATGCCAGAGATACAAGGATGGTACAACATTCAAAAATCCATTAACATCATCTTCCACATCAACAAAAAGAAGGAAAAAAACCACATGATCATCTCCATAGGCACTGAAAAAGCATTCAACAGAATTCAATATCCATTCATGATAAAAACTCTCAACAAAATGGGTATACAGGGCAAGTACCTCAACATAATAAAGGCCATATATGACAAACCCAGAACCAGCATCATACTTAACAGCAAGAAGCTGAAAACCTTTCCTTTAAGATTGGGAACAAAAGAAGCATGCCCACTCTCCCCAGTTTTATTCAACATAGTTCTGGAGGTCCTAGCCATGGCAATAAAAAAACACAGAGAAATAAAAGGCATCCAGATTGGCATGGAAGAAATTAAACTGTCCATGTTTGCAGAAAACACAATATTGTACATAAAAAACCCTAAAGAATCCACTCCAAAAGTACTAGATCTAATATCTGAATTCAGCAAAGTTGCAGGATATAAAATTAGTACACAGAAATCTGTTGCATTCCTATATACTAATTATGAACTAGGAGAAAGAGAAATCAGGAAAACAATTCCATTCACAATTGCATCAAAAAGAATAAAATACCTAGTAATAAACCTAACCAAGGAAGTGAAAGACCTATACCCTGAAAACTACAAGACACTCATAAGAGAATTTTAAGAAGATGCCCATAAAAGGAAAGGCATCATGTGCTCATGGATAGGAAGGATTAATATCGTCAAAATGGCCATCCTGCCAAAAGCAATCTACAAATTCAGTGCAATCCCTATCAAAATACCAACAGCATTCTTCAGCAAACTAGAGCAAATAGTTCTAAAATTCATATGGAACCACAAAGATCTTGAATAGCCAAAGAAATCCTGAGAAGGAAGAATAAAGCTGGGAGGATTGCACTCCCCAACTTCAAGCTCTACTACAAAGCCACAGTAATCAAGACAATTTGGTACTGGAACAAGAACAAACCCATAGACCAATGCAACAGACTAGAGAGCCCAGATGTAAACCCAACCATACATGGTTAATTAATATACAATAAAGGAGCCATGGGCATACAATGGGGAAATGACAACCTCTTCAACTTCCGGTGTTGGCAAAACTGGTCAGTTACATGCAGTTACATACAGAAAAGTAAACTCAAAATGGATCAAAGGCCTGAATGAAATCATGAAACCATAAAACTCGTAGATGACAACATAGACAAAAATCTCTTGAATATAAACATGAGCAACTTTTTCCTGAACACATCTCCTCGAGCAAGGGAAACAAAATAAAAATGAACACATGGTAGTATATCAAACTAAAAAGCTTCTGTACAGCAAAGGAACCAAATCAACAGAACAAAAAAGCATCCTACAGTATGGGAGAATATATTTGTAAATGACATATCCAACAAGGGCTCAACATCCAAAATATATAAAGACTCACATAACTCAACAACCAAAAAGCAAATAACCTGATTTAAAAATGGGCACAGGGTATGAACAGATAATTCTCCAAAGAAGAAATTCAGATGGCCAACAGGCACATGAAAAGATGCTCCACATGGCTAATTATCAGGGAAATGCAAATAAAACCCACAATGAGCTATCACCTTACACCAGTTAGGATGGCCAGTATCAAAAAGACTAAGAACAACAAATGCTGGTGAGGATGCAGGGAAAGGGAAACCCTTCTACACTGCTGGTGGAAATGTAAACTAGTTCAACCATTGTCGAAAGCAAGATCGAGGTTCGTCAAAAAACTAAAAATAGAAATACCATTTGACCCAGGAATTCCACTCCTAGGAATTTACCCAAAGAATGTAATTTCTCAGATTCAAAAAGACGTATGCATCCCTATGTTTTTTGCAGCCCTATTTACAATAGCCAAGATATGGGAGCAACCTAAGTGTCCATCAGTAGATGAATGGGTAAAGAAGATGTGGCACAAATACACAATGGAATACTATTCACCCTTAAGATAGAAACAAATCCTACCATTTGCAACAACATGGATGGAGCTAGAGGATATTATACTCAGTGAAATTAGTCAGGCAGAGAAAGACAAGTACCAAATGATTTCCCTCATTTGTGGAGTATAACAATGAGCAAAACTGAAGGAACTGTTTGGCAGGAAAATAGATTTGAGCAGGGTGGAAAGAGAGAAAGGCCATTAAATCCACTAAAAATCCCAAAGTTAATCAATTAAAGCTCAAAAAGCCAGGAGCAATTTGGCCGGGAATGTTTGAATATTCCTCAGATAAAGGATGGTTCCTCAGCATAGCTCATGTCTTTATTGTGTTAATCATGCATACCCAGTTTATTTTTTAACTTTACCTATATGCTGTTTTTTCTCCTGGCCCTAATCAAGTAGTTTGTAACCTAGCAACAAATCTAGCATGCCGGCCCCAGTGTAAACAACATAGTAAAAGGCAGGAAGAATTCCATTTTAAAGA